ACTTAAAAGTAGGATGACAACTGAGTACAATTAATCTTTTCAATAAATTTACTTAATGCCGGTAATATAGAAATTGGTCTAAAGTTAGTGCCGGGTAATTTTTTTCTCCAGATTCAAAAAGTGGAATAATTTACTATACTTCATTAAGTCTGGAAAGATCCTCTTATCGATACATTTGGTGCTAGATAATCAACTATAGGTTTAATAATATTTGTTGAGATGCCCGCCACAGATCATCAGATTTCAATGATTTAAAAGTTTTCAAGATGGTGTCGGTATTAATATGTCTAAAATTAAAATATTCCAACAACTTATTCACATCTGACTTATTTATATATATATAAAATAAAATTTTAATTACCTAGTATTCGTTACATTTAATACCGAGTTAAACCCGTACTGCAGCTAGTTATATGTGACATCCAGATATTTAGAGTGCAAGGCCAAGCTGGACTCTAAACTTTCACGTCTTAACAAAGGCTTTACAAACGCATATCATGCATCCGCTTAGTGGATGTACCCTAGATGCACAAACAACTAGCGAGTGTTAAAGTTTCTATGGAAAAAGTTAGTTTCCCTTTCGTCCGGTAGAGACGCTGCTTAGTTTCCATTCAAACTTTGACACGGCGAAAAGAAAACGGATCTGACAAAGTTTGTGCTTGGGGTACTGCTCACATCTCTTGCCTGGAATTCCGAAACTACTTGATAATGAACAAATACAAGCAATACGGATCGTTAACAAGTATGGTCCCAACTTACTGAAAATCTGGAGCCTTTACAGCTACGTATTCTAGTGGCGCTTTTATGGTGATAGCTCCGAAGATTTTAATTGATTAGATACCCATGTAGGTAGTACCGGAGTCGAGTTTAATATAGAAACACTTAAGTCCACAACAGTTCGTTTCCACCGGTCTTTTCCCCACGGAAAAGAAAGCTATGGAAACAGCTCCGTTTTTTGGTATGTTCCCTCAGCGCCATAACATGGTCCTCTTCAAACGAGGAATAAAATGAGTGTTCCAAGAAAGGCAGCGTGATGGCCGCGCGGCCCCTAGGTATAATCATCGGCTTTTCAGCACAATAAAAATCACCTTGTAAATCTTGTTTTGTTGAATTGCACTTATTTATCATTTATATAGAAATCTGTGTGTAGGTCAAATTATTTTTCCATTAAAAATGACTAGGCGTTACCAGAAGTAAAAGACGTAAGGTGTTAACGGTACGGCTACGTTGCCGAAACCGTCTTCTTTGATAATAACATCCTCCGAATTCGACTACCCAAACTTTGTGGTTTGGGTAGTCGAATCTGAGCCATCTCTAATTCTGAAATGTTCTTTTGATTATAACAGTTGTTTGAAACTAACTTTTTTATTCGAATATTATCTGTTAAGTCTGTCACAAGTCACAATAATATTTTATTGCCAGTCCATGCAGCAGAAATCTTCAAAACCTCAGTGTTTTAATTGCATATCTTTATTCTGAGGGCAAGTCTAACTTTCCCTCATTCAGTACAATGGACAACTTGAGGAACCGTGGCCTACTACAGAATATATTCGATTTTGAGGTTATAATTATTATACTTAATCGTAAAAGATGTACACTTTATATATTCTGAATAGATTTAGTGTTTAAATAATGCATAATGCAATAATGCATTAAATGAACATAAAATGCAATTAATAAAAAAATAATAAATGCTTATATTCATATTGATTTATGAGTGTTGTCAGTTGGCACCTATGATACCTATACCTACCTGTAGTAGGTAATGATATATTTCTTTTCAAATGAAATGTTCAATCTTTCCATTTACCTGTTTCTATATTTTACTATCGGTAATTAGGTATGTACCTGGTTATCATTATGATTTTCATAAAAATAAACAGATATTACATGGGATGGGAGTATAAACTATCTTTAGATAATTTCAGAAATAATCTTTTTACAAATATAATATAAATACTAGTAATAAGTATTATTAACTAAGGTACCTAGTTCTATTTTTATGTTGATAAATACCAATGGTCGCCTATATTGCATTACTAAGGTAAACAATCTTGGCACAACTTTTTAACAGAATCACCCATTTAATAATAAAATATTAACGAAGCCAATAAACTATTAAAATAAATCGTTATTATAGACTGAAACCTATTGAATCCAGTTATCAGTTGATTTTTAATGCTGTATTTTCAATAAAAAGGAGTGCCAAGTTGAATGAACAGACTGTAGTATCTAGTAACAGAACTTTTATTTTTTTAAACAGATTGTCCGTTTACTTTGATTAATTGCTACTAAGTTAAAAAAATAATAGAAAAATAATAGTGAAGGACATTCTTTTGGGCATGCTAGGGCCGATTTCGTCGATGTCCTTTAATTTTTTATTGCCACCAACTGCACTATTTTAAAAAATGAAACATACAAATCTTCTTATACTTCATAATCAAAGCTTAACTTACTCACAAGAACTAGGAACACTAAAATCTCTGTAAACAAAGAACTTAAGTATCAAACCAGTGCTCAATTAATAATATAATAGTGGTAGCTTTAACTTTGAGATCATTGAGAGCAAATATAACAGAAAAATTACAATAATAACTAATGGAAACAGATAACAAGGGTGGTACCACAACAACCCATACCGCCTTATTAATAAACAAAGACTAAGCTTGGATTAGTTCCTTCATGTTTTATCTCTGTTCATTGAATGACAAATGGCATTGGAGTGATATAACCAAAACACGGCGTAACTAGTCTAAGCTTACTCCTCGTTTATTAATAAGTAAGAGTTTATATTTAAAAATTGGTTACATGTAGGCTTAATCATTTAGAAATATCAAGTAAAACTTTCTGAAGAAAATGATTAGGCTCTACTAATTTGTAGTAAGTAATTTGTAAGGTTTGTGTGAGTGAAATAACTTGCGAAATACCTACCTCGAATATTAGAAGTAGTGCCTCGTGAATTCACGACACCGAAGCGAGGGCGGGTCACTAGTGTAAGAGATATGGCTGTAAATAATAGACGTCTTACCACAGGGTATAATAATGTATGTTTATACTTTCTAGGCTTGTAGGATTTCTCTAAGCTCATTACTCTCATTTGTAGGAGAAAATAAAAGCTTTGTTTTTTTTTAATATCTATTTACTTTTAATATTATTTGCTTATTTTCTACCATACTTGAAATCACAACCATTTTTGAACTTATGTATAAACATATATTTATATCATTTAATATCTCTGTAAGTAATGTGGGTTGAATTGGGGTTAAAATTCAACAGAGTATTTACGTTACCATTTATTACTTTTATAATAAGTAATTTAATTCTTCAAACTAAGTCGACAGGCAGATCCGGGCAAATAAAAGGTGTCGACCAATTTTTTACAGCCATTTGAGAGGTTCTAGTTTCAGAAAATCGTAAACATATCCATGTATTCCATGGCTTAAGATAAATTAAAAAATATATATTTTTAATGGTGGTGGACACAGGGTAGCTAATAAGTAGATCTTGTCGACCCTTGACATTTCTATTCTACTCATCAAAAACTTTCATTTGACATCAATTTTCTTGATGTATTTTATAAATTACAACAACACCTAAAATAATAACCGGAAGTGATATCATAATTTTGCATGCGAGTAAAATCAAGCAACTTCCGGGGTGTCGACCGCTAGACCTATGGCTTTATTGTTAATACCCCAAATGGACTATTGGTGTAGTTTGATCTCTCAAGTATCTAGACAACTAATTGATGTGTAAAATCTTTGAAATAGACGTTATTTTGATTTAGCGGAAGCGAGTGCTTTATTGCTAATTGGCATTATCACTTTCAAAAATAATAAATATTTTTATTTATCGATTTAGGTACAAGTAGGTAACATTTCATATACAGGGCGTCCCACGGGTTTACCATACGAAGGTTCGCATCGTAGTTTGTGTTCAATTATTATTAATATATAATTTGTATGCTACAGAATGGAACACATTTTGAACATTTGATAAATTAAATAAAAAAAAACCTGGCACCGTTTCTTTTTTATTGTGTTTGTTAAATTTCGTGATTGTTCTTTCATTTAAAATGCTATGTTATTCAGGAAAAAATAATCCTTAAGATTAACGCTTTCGACGGTTATCATAAAATACATGTGTTTTTGTTTCACATTTCATGAGTTTGATCCCAGGATGTGGCAGGCGATTTTTTTTAAATCTGGAATGCGGTTCTATTTATTATTAAAAATAAAATGATGTCTTCTTTCAGTAAAATATTCTATCTTCAATATGTAATATACTTTCCCTCCGTGTGGCAAATCCGTAGGACGCCATTTATATTCCTAATACTTAATCGATATTTTATTAAATCCAATAAGTAAATAAGCAGATAACAACTATCTTCATAATTTCATTTTATTCTAGAACAGCATAAAATATCTGTATCGGTGGGAAAACATTTATTAAAATAATATTAACTTAAGTAATAACAGACCAGGCGCCTTGTAGAAGTGTATTCTTTCAATTCGTTTAAACCGTTGTTAACTTTAAAGTTTAAAAACAACCAATAAAAAAATAACTTAATTGTAAAATATATGTGTATTAAAAAAAAAATATTATAGTATGGAACTGAAAAGCTTGCGACATACAAAATTAAAGTTTGTTTCTCATTTGAAGTAAGTCTAAGCATTTGCTCGAATAGAAAGACGGTCACTTGTATAAGGCGCCAGTATTTTATATTTGGACAGTCACAAACTTAAGTACCACTTTATATATGAGCATGAATATTAGGTGGCCAATATAATAGGGAGAGCAGTGCCCAAAGTTCACTATCCTAAGGACGCTTGTTAACGAGATGATTTCTACCCTACGGTTCTTCGGTATTTTCTACGGTTTTAAACTTACGCAATAGCTTACGATTTTATTTTGTTATTTCTGACCGCCGAAGGTTTTCAAATAGCTTACGCTCATTTTCTTTGATATTGTTGTTACCAATACAAAAGAAAAAAAACGAGCAAAAAGCATTTGAAAACCTTCGGCGGTCAGAATTTGGCCACTCATACAGTTCATGATTATCATACAATAAAATTAATTTTAGACGTGATATTTTTTTTGTCAATTCATTTCTTGCCACGGAATAATAGTATGCACAAATAATTTTTCGAATTAATTGTCATTTCATAGTGTGGCTCAAAATTCTATTTGCTTATCTTAAAACTTCAATATAAATAACATTCTTGATTCATAAAATAAATTATCTTAAATATTAACCACAGACTTTAACCAAGCTCTACCTTCTATATTTTAATACAATATGTAAATTAAAATAATTAAAAATATTATATTACTATAAAATAATTGATATGTAGAAATAAATATGTTTCTTTTACTTCATTCAGTACATAGTCCTATCACTCTAGCTTCCAATGCGTTTATATAAGTGGAATGTTGATTATGGATATGAAACCGGATTTGAATATATGAAGAATATTATTCTGATTCTGATACGCTTAAGGATATAAAAGAATTTCCAGAATATCTGATTGTAACTAATTTATAAAGTATCTTGAAATGAAAAGCTCCCTGTCCAAGGTCCACAAACCAATATGAAACATGACAAGATTTTCTTCTCATGTTTCTTATGTAGACTCGGATCGTATCAGAAATTATTCGCAATACCTTTTTATTATAAGATTCAGTTATGGATTCGGATACGGATTTTTTTTCCGGATATTCTATAGGTTACTCGTAGGGAGCTCCATAATATCCCTGATCCAGATTTGAAAAAAGTTGGTGCAGGCGCAGCTCATATGAACCTTCAAGGCGCTAAGCCAACTTTTATGACCTCCTTTAAAAAATGAGATCGAATAAATTCTATACCACAAAATTCCTACTTGCCAGAAAACATTGAATTGCAGTATAGCCACTACATTAAAACTAACTAGATCTTATGAAACTTGTCTACTTTGTACCAAAAACAACGATAAGCTTGTAGATGGACCTCACGCTCGCAGGTTTGTTGTTGTTAACTTCGTCAATAAGGTTCATATCGCGTACCACATTCAGATAGTCTATCATGAAGTCATCGAATACTTCTTTGGGCATACTGAATGGATTCACGGCTTGTACAGCTTCTGTAAATAAATTTATATACAATAAGATTACAACACATCGTCAAATATGAAACGAGAATTAGTATGACAGGACTTATGTTTTTTTTAAGCATTTAAAATTTTTCTAGTAAAACTTTTCTTTAGGACAATACTTGTTCATGTTTACAAGCGTTTTACAGTCTTTACCATGGCGAGTGAGGGATGAGGAAATATTCTCCCTTATCTCACCATCCACTTTCCTTCAGAGGACTACGCCTTGACCTACGTTGTCACTGATTTACTGTGACCATTATTCCGACGCGAACAAAGAACTTTGGTGGCTCAGTTCTTCGCCGCACTTTCCGCAATTGTATTGTTTTGCAAGCTCACGTATCCCTCCCTATTACAACCCCAGAATCCGGACACCGGAAGAAGCAAGCCAGCAAGCCCAAGGTAAGGATTGCTGGTATGGCAGATAAAACTGCTATTTTCACGACTGGACTCCTGGGATGGAATCATTTATTCGGCAATATAACATGTAGTTTCATGCTTTGAAGTGGTTTTTCAAAGAAAAGAAAAGTAAAGTTTTGGGTACTAAGGCAAAGACGGCTAAATACTAACTTTTTACTGCTTCAGGGCTGTCGTAGATAAAAGATTTTTCTTGACAAGTGACTACTATATCAGTGAAGCCAATTTTTTTCATGAGTTTTCTTATTTCTTGCTCAGGATACTGGAAACAGAAAAAAAATATATAAGTGATTAAACGTTCCAACTTACTGTAGTTTTTTTTAGTGGATGATAATATTATAATGATGGTTTCGATTCTATTATATCACCTATTTCTGAATAAATGAACGACTGGACTGAATTAATTTATTTAATAAAAAACTGTTAAGTACTGCGGCGATCTTCCCTGAGTACCTAATTCTACCAACAGCGGATCGATTTACTTATCTAGAACTTTATTTTTTTAGCAACTTATTAATTTAGTTAACCTGTAAATACCGTTGCCGTCGAGCATTCAATTTTGTTTAAGTTTTTGTCTTTTTTGAGTGTTCAGTTTGATCTTCCTAAATATTATAAAAAAATGAACTAAAAGGTAAAACCATTATTTATTTTGACATATCAGTCTTATTTTCAATAGTATTGTCATCAGTTCTTTTTGAATATGGAAAACTTACCACCATAACATAGCAATAGCATGTAAAATGTTGCCAAGACGAGTCCATATGAATGGCACTGTTAAGAGCTCATTTAGAGCCAAGCTTCTAACTCTACATGCCCTAACTCTACAAGGTCTTACTTCATAAACTTTACATCTTATTCCAATATGTTGCTGGACTTCAACCGCGCGAAGTCTTTCTTGCCAACTTTTAGTATGAAACGGACTCTTACCACAGACCATTTCTCTGGGATGTATCCCCAGTCATAACTTGCTCTGAAGATTGTAACCAGAATGGGGGTTAGGATATCTTTAGTTTTTTTCAAAAGCTATGGCATACAAACAAAAGGTAATAAAAGTTGGTAAAAAAGTGGATATGAATTTACCTGCGAGTCGTGGTAGGGAGAGATGAATCGTTCGACGCCGTGGAGCCAGCAGCCCCACTTGTTGCTCTCGGCCAGTATGCGGTACACATCGAACACCGGGTTGTGGCCCAGAAGCGTCAGCAGGCACTGCCCACCCTCCACCAGTAAGTCGAACATGTTATTAAAAGCTGCCCTGGAAAAAAAACCAAACAATTATAACGTTACCTACGTTGTTAATGAGTCAGATTAAAGTTAAGTTAACAAATTAAAAATTGTTTAATTTAATATAAGTAGGTAACTATTAAATTAAATTAAACAATTTTATTCCACGGGTGTAAAATGCGTTTTTATTACTCTTTACATAACTCGACGTTTTGCATCCTTTTCATGATGCATCATCTGAGTAGTATTTTTGACGAGTTACCTTCGAAAGACTTAAAAGTAGATTCGTAAAGTAAGGAATTAAAATCTATACTACCTACTCAGATGATGCATCCTGAAAGGGATGTGAAACTTCGAATTATCTAACAGTGGAAAAATATTTTCCACATACACTTTTTCCGCCTGTTCCAAATATCCATACTGCCATACTAGTATTCCATACAACAGACGTTTTTTTGCCGCTTTTTGCTCGATTTTATAATATAGTGTACAATGTTGTATAGATAATGGTACGGAACCCTTCGTGAGTGAATCTGATTCGCACTTGGTCGGTCTTTACATTTTGGTACCTTAAGTAGACAATTGTGAATATAAACGCTATTATTATGGCATACTAGCTATGCCCCGCGGTGTTACCCGCGGTATATTAGAGATATTTTCCCGCAGTAAAATGAAGCATATGTGTTAATTCAGGGTGTCAGCTAACTCCACACCAAATTTTATTAAAATCGCTACAGCCGTTTAGACGTGAAGAAGTAACAAACATCCACACTCACAAACTTTCGCCTTTATAATATTAGTGTGATAGAATATCGCTGCCAATTAAGTTGTTAAGTTATTTTTTTATTGCATTGGACCATCATGAATCTTATTAAAGGATTTTTAACCGACTTCAAAAAGGAGGAAGTTCTCAATTCGGCCGGTACGTTTTTTTTGTTTTTACACCGATTTCCGATATTTTTGATCCAATTTACGTTATTATTTTTTTGCCCGTTGCGAAAAAGTTGCCAATCGGTCCCATAAAAATTTAGTTCAGTGTGGCCCAGTAGTTTTTATTTAATGAGCGGTTTCGTAACTTGGACGATGTAATTTTCATGATACCTATACTTGCCATTTGGTCGCATTAAAAAACATTTATTTACTGACTAGTTTTTCATTTTATGAGCATTTTTGTTTACTTGGACGATATATTTTTTACGATACTTTGTGTACGGCTGAGTAGTCATTGTGTATGTGCTGGTGCTTTACACTAAAATGGATGAAATAAAAACAAATTTTAAACAAAAATTTCAAATTGACTTCAAAATCGAAAATTTAACTAAAAAGTAAAAAATAATAACTAGTATATGATTTGGAAGTTCGGTGGAGCCAACATTGAAACATGGAGTAGATTTTCATTTCTAATCAGTATACGGGTTTAAATCTTGACCCCGTTAACATTTTATATTTTTGTCACAAGTTTCGCCAAATAAAAAAAGTTTAAGAAAAAATACTAACAAACGTGCGATTTTGCTTTCGTTCATAATTGTTTAGGTAATAAAATTCGGATTTATTTGGTTTAAAAAAAATGAGTGTCTTTTTCGAGTAGTGAGAATGAAAGTATGTTAAAAATGTGATACAAAGTCTTTTACCTATAAAATCCCAATAACAATATAAAAAAGCATATGAAAATTTAAACATTTATTTTTTTATCCTTTAGAAAAATGCAAGAAAGCTGAAATCTTTTTCAGAAAATGTGTTTTTGGCCTTTTACCAACATTGTCTTGTTGTGCTTGAATGTAAATAAATAAAAGTACTTTTGTAACATATTCGTAGTTGCATTTACTTATTTTCTCATTGAGGGTGATAAAAAGTAGAGTGCCCACCTCAGGAGCAACATTATTTTAAAACTCTAGCGACGTACTTTGAATCCCTCGTTGAATCTTTTGCTCCGCTCTAGATTAAAAAAATGCTCTCGCCTTTAAAATAGTTCTTTGCTCTCTTAGTAAACAATCTAATTTAATATTATTTCGGAATTGAAAATATATCTAAAATTAAGACCTTATAGTATTTTCAACCACACGTGTTTGTTTTTTTTTTACTGGAATGTTTTAAGTAAGGTGTACATATTAATGAGTTTTTAAAACTAGTACACTTCGATGGAGGAGGAAGGATAATAAAATAATTTTAAGAATCATTGATATATATATATAGATTGACATAAAAAACTACCCATAAAATAAATATCTATCTTATTAATATAAGCTTTTTTAAAATACTTACTCTTGGTCTTTAATCCAATGAAACGTGTAGAACGAAAAAGCGTGGTTGAAGTTGGATCTCAATTCTTCTGGAAGCCTCCCTGCGATATCCAATACGGTAAAACTTGTCCGCTCGTTCTTGTGGTGTACATTCGCGAACGTCACCATTTTCTCGCTGACATCACATCCCAGGAGCAACTCGAAGTTTTCAGGGATGAACTCCTTCAGCAAGTCCACTGTAACACTGCCGTCGCCGCAGCCTATGTCTATGATTCTATCACCTGATCTCTTCCACATCATTTTGTCTGCGAATTCTTCTAAGCAGTCGAGTGCGTCTCTTTTCTGCAAGTTGTTGTTGCCCTCGTACAGTTCGGCGTTATTCATTTTTTTCCGAGTTAATTTTCGGGGTTTGTGTTGTGTGTTGCGCGCGCTAGGTTGCCGAGCTGGGTGCGCTTTGGACGAACAGTCCCGTCTGGAGCGCTTCACGTATGCATTTATAGTGTTGTCGCTGCGTATCGTACGCTGTGGCGAATTCAGCAGGAGTTAGGGGATTGTATCGTGGACCCGGCATTGCCTGACAAATCAATAAACTTTTATAAATAATATGTAACGTAATAATTTCTGGTAATAAGATGTTGTTATTAAATACAAATGCATTGTAGATGGAAAAGAAAGCGATAATCTACCTGCGTAAATAGCACCAATAGTAATATAAGACTGAAGGGTTTATCGATGGTTTTTATTAATAGATTTTATGTAAACATATTTTTTGTGGAGCATGATTATACTATACTAAATGACACCGAAAGAAATGTATATTTTAAATACTCTACTCTTGTATGAGATAGTATTATTAGATTTTTGCAGACTTTTAACACCTTATGATGTGTTTAAAGTTTGAAGCGGCCAGGGAAATAAAATTTTTTCTTAGTTTTATTTCAAATATAAAAGTGCATCTGGCCTTTTTAATATACAATTATTCAGTTCTCTTATAAGTCTGATCAAACATAGAGAATATTTTAAAATATTAAACTATTAGATTTTTTAAGATTTCCTTGAATTTATTTGCTTTGTATGAAATAAGAGTCTAAATAAGTGTCTTTATGTATGATCTGCAGTCGTTAGCACCCACCAATCCGCACTGGGCCTGCGTGGTGTGTCATGGCCCAATCTCCCTATTCCATCCATAGGGAAGGCCTGTGCCCCAGCAGTGGGGACAATAATAGGCTGATGATGATAATGGTGTAAGATATAAGTATTATACTTAACAAGTGTGAGTAGCACTTTAAAACGCCTCACTCTAACGAAAATGTCCGTCCGAGTTAATTAAATTTTCCTACAGATACTTTTTAATTCAAAGAGCTTTGAATTAAAGGAGTAAACTAGGTGACCTTTTATTTTTGTGGGTGAGTGTAGTAGGTGCTTATGGCAAAAGATTTACCTATTAGGTATCACGCAATTCTTCTATTATCATTACAAAAGGCTACGGAAGTTCCTTATGACAATTGTGTATTTTCCTTATTTACAAATTGATGACAATGTTGGAGTATTGAAGTTCAGGAGCCGGCTTAAATGTTGAATATTTCAAAACATAAACAAATTTATTATAGATTTTACATATTATGTGAACTTTTTAAAAAGCACAGATTTCACAATAAAATAATAATAAGAACCTTTGGGACTGTCTTATGAGGAGGATAAAAATTATTAAGCCTCAATATACAGATAGTCGTCTATAAACAATGGAACAACATTTATAATAATTCGTCACTTCTTATCGTTTGCAAAACTATTTTCAAGTTATATGGGATTGAACTAAGGAACGACAGAAAACGACGTTGGATTCGGTTTATATGGCACTTCATAGTTTTGGTTAGTTAATAATCTGTTAATTAGTGTTATCAGTATGTTCAGTGCACTTTTTTCTGATCCATGTCATCGAATAATGTGGGAATATATATAATATAGTAGGAGCTTTCTTCTTCCGTTTTCCTCTAAAGCTGAAAATGTGGTAGAGAAAATATATTTTGGAGGATTCATAAATATTGTATTACTAGCTGTGCCCCGCGGTATTACCCGCAGTTTATTAAGGATAATTTCCCGCAGTAAAACGTAGCCAATGTGTTAATCCAGGGTGTCAGCTAACTCCATACCAAATTTTATTGAAAACGCTCCAGCCGTTTAGACGTGAAGAAGTAACAAACATACACACTCACATACTCACAAACTTTCGCCTTTATAATATTAGTGTGATTATTATATTTTTTTTTAAGCATTTAACTGCCAGGTTTTTAAATCTAAAGACTTTTTCTAGTAAAGTAGTTCTAAACCATTTGTATAATCCAAGTTCATGGAAGAAAGTTTGATTTAAAGCCGCGCTGAGATTCGTCATAATGGCATTTAAAATCACGTGCTGCCTTAATCTATTATTTAAGCAAATATGCTTATTATTAACTTCAACAAAATTTAAAAGCTAATTGACGTCTTTGTGTTCAATCGTTCATTTGACTCCTTGTGTTGCTTAAAAATACAATTTCCTTATAAGTTATTAAAGTAAACATAAGAATGTTGCGTTAGTATCAAACTTGAACTAAAATTAACGGGATTGTGACCATACACCTTGTTTTTTATCAGTGTTGTTTTTAGCACAGAGTGATGATGGCGCTTGCAACAGTGCCGAAATACACTGTATATAAATAGACTTAAAAAACAAGGTACATGGTAACAATCCCGTTAATAGCTATAATTTTAGTGACCATGAAAGTTTAAAACGTTTTACTTGCCAAAAACATTAAATTATAATTTTGGTTTAATAGATAACATTTTAGGTTTGGGTACCAACAGAAAATATCGCAAGTACACACGTCAATAGAGTAACGTGAACTTTTGACCGATTTTTAATACTTATATTATTTTGTTAAATAAGTAATTTGATTTATTCCTGAGTAAAGCAAAAACATCTTTGAATAAATTACTTATACATTTCATAGCGATAGGTAATATAAAATATCAACTGATAAAACTGCAGTTTGCGTAAACGATGCATGTTGCTAAGACTCTTTTGATGAGTACCTACATTAACACAATTTATTCGTTGGAATGAGTTAGCGAATCTACGTAATTAGGTAACTTTTTACATTTTTCTTACTTAAATAATTAAAGTGTTAAAAAAAACAAACTGTGATCTTCTGTGAGGTGGAAGTTACTACCCAAGACGGGCACCCAGTTTCAGCGAAAAATATATGCTATGGCCTACTTCTCTTAGTTCAAGCTAAAGCTAGTAGATGGTGCATTATTTGTACCTAATATCCGTCTGTGATTGTGGAAGTATAGTAATATTCGTAATGACTGACCGTAGACTGTATGATCAAATTTTATTATCTTATACTACTACGTGCTCTGGCAGCAGCAATTGATAATGAATGCACTTTTAGTCATAAATACTAAACAATCCGCACCGGGCTCACGTGTTGGGCCATGTCATGTTATTCCTATTTTTTCCCTAATGATGAGGAGGAAGATGACATTTTAAAAATATTTTACATGATGCTTATAACCAAAATTTTGTTGTAATTATAAAAATGGTACAATGGCGTGCAGTTTCGAATGTTTTCTGAATTGACCCTGTTGGGAATTGTATTTGGGAAATTTAAGCTTGGCAAATAACTCAGTAATGTATGTACCTTTGGTGTGTTGCAGGACCTAAAAATTTAACAAACGAAAAAAAAAGTTTCATAATCGTTTTGCGTCTCCTGTACTAAATACATTTTCTTTTTTTCCATCTCTACCGGTGTTTTCCATACACTATTATGTTACAACAAAGTAACAATGTGATTTATGTAGCACCGACCGAAAATAGATAATATGATGTGAGCACGTAAGTATTATCTGAGCCTAAGATCCGAGACGTCAACCTTTGTTGCCTTTTGTACGCTAAGCTAATAGAAAATATTAAACCATTCGCTTTATCTATGCTATTTTTAATTGCATTGAATGAATCCTCGTTGACGAAATGTGTTGTGCAACTTTGTTTCTCAACATTTTCCTTGAATGGGTTCTATGACAAAGAAGAGCTATCCATGACTTATAAATAAAAACGGAAAATTATAAATAAGTAACCGAAATAAAACTCTTAATGTATTTAGTTTTTTTTTTACTAAGCCATCTGTCACTATTTTGGGTGATAAAAATTTGTTTTTCGTATTTCTTAATTTTTGACGATTACGTTTAACACTTAATTGTAATCGTAAGATTAAGTAAGTTTTAACTTATTGGGCTCAAAGATATCTTTAAGCCGAATTTGTTGTACATATTCTTGTAATGTATTATTTTATGTTTAATATTTAAAATATATCATTTTATGTTTTTATTTATTTTTTAAGCATTTAACTGCTAGATGTTTAAATCTAAAGAAAAGATTACTAGAAAAAAATATCATATATCATTTTTTAATTATTTTAAACAATTAATTTAAAACATCTTTGGATCTATTTCACTAAAGTCCAGTTTCAATAACCAGACTCCAGTAAAAGATGGGCTTATTAGAACTTTGTTAAATAAGTTTTTTCTATTATTTAAATACAGTAACTTATCTTACTAAGAAATTTAATTAATATGATAATATTAATAATTATTTATTGCGATATACTGGATGAATGTATTAAGTTAATCTTCGTATTGACATGTAGTTTTTTGGAATTTGCATCAACGTAAAAGTTAGTTCGCCATGCACCATGTGAAAGACTCTTCATGCTAAGTTCCAAATCCGATCCATGTTTTTCTTTATTCATTATTATCGAAATAAAAATCACATTATCTTACTGAAAGTTTCTGGATTTGGCCACTTGCAACAAAGAATGAAAAAACAAGAATGGAATTCAAAAAGAGAGCACATTGGTAACATGCTTTTAAATTTACGGGATTGTAATTTTTTCATTATGGCATCCTTTCGAAAATCTTATGTCGATATCAAAATGAATTTATGAATGAAATTATGGACAAACGGATTTATTTTAATGTTTTTTTTAATCTAAATAAAAAAAATACTAGAAAAAAACTCTCGAATCTAGAAAAAAAGGATCGAACGCACTGACCATTATGCGACCGCGGCCCTGATGACCGTGTCAAATTCTTTCTAGTATTTCTTTGGCTGCAAGGCAGCACCATCTGTTCGCATTGTAGGTAACCCAAAATTTTAATTGGATACCTCTAAGTATTAAACATTTGAAAGCAGGCAAAGCAAAGGTCATATTTTTTTATTTCTTAAGCATTTAACTGCTAGATGATGAAAGATAATTTTACTAAAAAAAATCCACGCAGATTTTCTAGTATTTTTTTTAATTTAAAAATAGAGTTGCCAGAGACTTTAAATCTACGAGAAGGTAAGTTAAGGTCGGTTACAGAATCTAATATTGACACCGTACGACAAGTTATTGAAACTGTCAAAAAAATCTTGTCCGCAAATTCGTGCTTTGTCAGGCATTGGAAGGAGCCAATTGCAAAATATTTTACGTATAGATCTGCAGGGTCGGAAGGTTTGCACTCGATTAACGGA